CTCCTAATATATCCACAGTGGTTCAGGACCACCAATTAAGGCATATCTTACTTACTTTTAAAGGGTCAATTTGAACCTTGAATCTTCATGGGTATTTGTCAGTGATTTCTGGGGACATTATTCTCTCATTTCTTTACTACTTGACAATTTTAAATCCTGTACATATGGTATAGCGATTGAAAACATGTGTTCTGTAGTCTCTTTATCTGGATTTCTATCTCAGATACCTTTTGCATCATTAGGCAGCTCAAGTAACCTCTCTGTTTTAATTTTCTCATCTGTAAAGAGTGAATGAAATTGGTGTCTATCACACTGGGTTATTATAATGAGAAAATTCATGTCAATTGCAAGGTTGAAAAGTTATCCTAACACATATGATTTATTTTTCTTATTATATTCAATCAATTCATCTCTTTAATATGTATTACTAGTTTTGTTTAAGTAGAAGGATAAGCTCCTTGAACACAGAGTATTTATTTGCACAATGCAAGGAAAACTATTAATAATCAATACATATTTATTTGTTAATTAAGTGTATTTAGTTTGAGCCATTGGAAAAGCACCATATTCTTGTAACAAAACACTTGAAAATTTGTCAGACTTGTCAAGAATACTATCACTTCTTTCCCAAAGAAAAGTTACTACTTCAAAGAAAAGAGCTCAAAAGCAGAGAAAACAATACATTTTTTAAGTTCCTGATTTACAGAATGCCTTTCACCAAGCCACTGAGCTGCTCTGTGTTCTCATTTTTCCCATGACCAGATACAGATGTAGTACTTGCTCCTTCCTTTTCTCTTGGGAATGTTGTCAGGTTAGATAATCCGTATAAAGCTTTTCTTCCTCAGGCCATGGTACAATTATCTGTCCTCTTATTAAAATTTTTCTGCCCTGTGAAATCAGCCATAATAAAGGGTTGATGAACTATGTCCTCTTGTGAATTTTCTTTATTAGAGGAAGGTGTGTCTGTTGCTTTTCTTCTTAATCACCAAACAATATAAAATATTCATTACCTTATCATATAGTTGGGCAGTATTACATAAAGCTTCAAGTGTCCCCACTCTCAGCTTTTATGATCCCCGTAATAAAGTTCAGGAGAAAGCACTGAGCTCAGGTGATAGAGATCTTTGGTTTTATATTCTCATCTTTCACAGTGAAACATTAACCTTCAAATTAACTATGAAATAAGCTGACCCAGGAGATGGACAATTTTCCATCCCTATGCAATTCAATTAATAAATAAATGCCAATTTTTATTGATTTTTCAATTCATTCTTATAAGATAAATTCATAGATTTTAGACTGAAGGAGACATTAACTTGAATTTAATTAAGTGAAACCAACTTAAAATAGCATACAGTATTTAAAAATGTGGCTCTGATGCCACACTGCTCAAGGCTGAACCTTGGCTTTACCTATTAGCTGGATGATCCTACACCTTAGTTTCCTGCACTCAGTATTCTTTACTGAAGGATGAAGATGAAGACAATGCCAGCCCCACAGGGTTATTTTGAGGCTTGATGATGACAAGTAATGTAAGGATTACAGGGATAATTATACTACATATCTCTGTGCATATCTCAGTGCTTAGTTGAGTGTTAGGCATCATTTGCTGTGGAGGGGCCTGTTCTGTGCAATGCAGGATGTTCAGCAGCATCTGTAGGCTTTACACACTCCATGCCAGTAGAATCTCCCCAGTGGGACAACCAAAAATGTTTTCAGATATTGTCGAATGTCCCCTGGGGTAAAAATAGCCCCCAATTATGAATCATTGTTCTATATTGAATTGTTTTTATTGGAAGGGGGTGAATAAGTCATGATATGGCATAATGCCTGAAGGCAGGAGCATACAGTCTGTCAGGAGGAGGGATTTTAAAGCATAGAATTTGAGCTGAGATACATGTGAGCTTGAATTCAGGCTCTGAGTATTGTTAGCTGTTTCTGGTTGCCTCATTTTATCATCTTTAAAATGTAGATAACCATTAGAATTAAACAGTTCAGGAACTTAGCTAGTGGTAAAATAAGTGCATAAAATGAATATAATATTCTCATTGTATAGTTTAAAATTATAATGGATAAAAGGTCCAGTTCATAAAGGCAACAAAAAATATAACACACCTAGGAATAAAATTAATAACTTCTCCCCTCACTTCTAAATTCAAACTATCCAAGTAATTACTAAGGGAAGTGCAGCTTTAATATTATAAAACTTTTGATCATCCCCAATATAATCATAACATTTACACATTTCCTATCAGAATCCAATATGGCTTCTTACCTGTTATTAATTAAATAAAAC